GATGTGTATCTATGGAAAAGACTGGTACAGGTGTGTTTTTCCTCTCGCACAAAAAGACACATCCTGTAAAGGTGATGCCAATGCTGTCACATGTAGAGTTCTCCACTTTTCAGAATAATTAAGTGCCATCTATTTATAATGTATATCAAAAGGTGTTACAGTTTTATGTTTAAAGGCACTTGGACTATTTTATAGTTTATGTGAATTCTGCTGCTAGGCTTTACTCATCTAAATGTTTGATTAAAGAAGAGAGGGGGGGGGATTGCCCATCCTCCTCTGGCTTTCAATGTGTGGAACTCACTGTTTCTTTAATCTGTGAGGTTCCTTTTCAATTCTCTATTCCCTCCATATGTTCTTTACAATATCAGATATTTAGTTTTGACCAGAATACAGTGTAACCTTACTTAATAACAGAAATAGAATTTGTTCAGTAATACAGCATTGCAAACTGTTTACAGTTACTTTTGTGTAGATCATACCTTGAAACCTATGATTATTTTATACCCTAAACTGCCTCCAAAGTAATACTATTTTAATACAGAGATATATAAAATTATAAAAAATAAAATTTAAAAATCTAATATGTTCTAGGTGAGGTGGTGGGATGGCATGGCTGATTTGAAACTTTATTTATAGTTGCTGATGATCGGAACCTTTTTTAAACGTTAACTATTTCACACGACCAAATTTAAAAACAAATTAAAAGATATGAAAAAAATGTTGAAAAAAAAAAAAAACCACACACAACTTTTTAGTAGTCCGTAATTCTAGGTGTGTACACATTCTTCCTATACAATCCGTTCTATAGGAAAAAAGTACATGTAAAAGGTATCAATAGATATTGACAAAACCATGTCTATGGCTGATAGTTAACCTGTGCATCTTCAAAATGCAAAGTGGGAAAAAAAGAAGTATCCCCCATCAAAAGTACTAGATAGGACATGTACAGATATAAATGTCCTTAGAGATAGATATGAAAAAATAAATAAAATCATGACTGATCTGAAATCTAAACAGATCTAAAATCGCATGTTGGTAAAAACATAATTGGGGCACAGATCAAAATACTGTCCATTGTTCAATATGATTTTAGTAAATATACTTAATGTGAGTAAGAGGTTCACTTAAGTTGATGTTCTGGAAAGCCCCTGTATGTAAAGTAGAATCTTCAACCATTGTTTAAAATTTGAACATTTATTTATAGGTGCTAACCTAGATGTTTAGGCTTCAACGTTATATGTGAGCGGGTGGGTGGTTTGTGAATGTCTAAAGTGGCCGTTTGTCTGTGTTAACAGCATTGATGGCATTTAAAAAAAAATCTGATTTACAATGGTAGAACAGGGATGGCTAAAAATAAATAAATCCCCATTTTTTGTCGTTTTGGGACTCGCATGTTGCTTTGCCAGATTTAAGGCTGAGGACCTACCTTTTAGCCACCACTGTGCTTGAACGTGAGCTTGAAGCCCTTTACCAAGCTGAATATTAGAAATACATTGTTGAATGAAACCTCTTGTATATCTCGATAGCTAGTTAAAGTCCAAGGTCCGAAAAATCCTTAATTTAATTGCACGCTTTATCATCTTTGTGCATTATGGATCTAGCTCAAAATGATATTTGGGACTATATTGAAAATAGCAATAAAAACTAAAGAAAATCAATCCACTCAGGAACACAGTCTATAAAACACTAGTTTGGATGTAGATTTAACTGGTTATTTGATTTGTCAAATATTTTTGTTTGTTGTTTTTTGTTTTTTTTACTTCAGTTTTTTTTTGTTTTTGTTTTTTTTTAGCTGACGACTGAAAAGAACATAATTTAAACTTGTTTATGGTTAATGTATATTTTGTAAACATAAGGTACAATGTATATAAGAGATGTATTTAATGGCTCATTTACATATTTCATAACTTGTAGTTTGCTAATAAATTTCCAATGTGCTTGGATTCTGTGTATTCTTTTTCTTTTTACTGTTTCGGTTGATTGGTAAACAGGGAGAGTATATTTAACATAAACAATATACATGATGGCAATTTGCTTACAACCTTTATTTACTGACCATTAGTTCGGCATCAGAAACATACACACTATCTGGGGAGAGGGGGCTACAGAGCTTCTAAACAACAATAATCTTAAATTGTTGCTCCATCCAGAAAGCTTGCATTCTGAATCCACCAATTATTTAACCCCTTAACGACCAAACTTCTGGAATAAAAGGGAATCCTGACATGTCACACATGTCATGTGTCATTAAGGAACATTATAGGGTCAGGAACACAAGCATGTACTCCTGACCCTTTAGTGTTAAAACCACCATTTAGCCCCTTAGCTCCCCCTTGTCTCCCTAAATATTCAAGTACTTGTATTCAAGTCTGCAGCTCCTGGCTCTGCCCCTGTCTGCCTCTGACCTGCTGGCTCTCTGTTGACATCATTAGAAGTGGAATGCTTCCCCATAGGATTGACTGAGACTGTCAAGGAGACCGATCAGGGGCAGAGTCAGCAAAATTCAAACACAACTCTGGGCAATCAGCATCTCCTCATAGAGATTAATTTAATCAATGCATCTCTATGAGAAAAGGTCAGTACCTTCATGCAAAGGGTGGAGACACTTAATGGCAGGGCAGTGCAATCTGAGGAGTGGCCAGTGAAGTTATCACTAGGCTGTAAGGTAAACACAGCATTTTCTCTTAAAAGACAGTGTTTACAGCAAAAAGCCTGAAGGTAGTGATTCTACTCACCAGAACAAATGCAACAAGCTTTAGTTGTTGTGGTAACTATAGTGTCTGTCTGGCTACTACCCAAATACCCCAAACCACATATCTCTGCACATTCTATCTTTTTCTCCCCTCTTGGTCCCCATCTCCTTTTCTTTTTCCCAAACTTATAATCAAAAATCTACAACTAATAACACATTCTAACACATGCACATCACTATCCACTAACACAGTGCAATTATACAATCCCTTGCAAACACTGACATTCTTTCACACAAATACATTAATACAGATACAGAAACAAATATACTTCCATGCATAATGTGATATTTGTTTTAGGCTGTCCTAACTGTACATAAAGGTTTTAAGAGCCTTCACACAATTAACCGCAATCTCTATCACACACAAACCTCCTCACACAATTATTTACCCATATACATGAATTCACACATAACCAACGAAGTTACACACACGTTAGTCATATTACTTTTATACATGCTTACACAAATAGCCAAAAATACAAAGGTACCCTTGGTTGTATTGCTTATTACTCTCATCTAGTGAAATTTTATTACCGCTCAACCCCATATTCTTAACCTCCTCTTATTAACCCCTCCTTATCCCACATATCATTAACCCCCTTGCCTCAAATCACCTTAAATCCTTTCATTAACCCTTTCCTTTAATTCAATCCCTTTGTCATTAATCATTTCCTCTTATCTCCTTACTCCCTTATTATATCACCATGCCCTCCCACCCTATTTTTCCTGGTGGTGTAGGGGTCTGCTAAGTTCTGTGTGGAAGCAGCATTAAGCAGTTCTTTCAGAGGAGCATGCCACCACTGCTCCTTTGCAGGGCCGGACTGGCCCACCGGGATACCGGGAAATTTCCCAGTGGGACGCGGCACCTGGGAATGGCATGCAGTCACTGCCAGCCTTAGGATTGTGTGAGGCGAGCAGTGCGGCCGCACAATGCACCGAGAGTGGCCGACACAGCTCGGAGATACACATTGAAAAATTGGTCTTGCCTCTAATAAAGCTGACAGAGGCGCTATGAGCAGAGCCTCTGTCGGGATTGGAACGCAGCCGCACGGACTTGCACTCGTGCTGCCTGATGTACTGATCAGAGCAGCTCCATGCGGCTCGTTCCGGGGGAAGTGACGTCATGCGTGAAAGGGCAGCACAAGCCGCGCGGAGCTGCCATAAAAAGCAGTACAGGCAGTACGCTGAGTTCATGAAGCTCTACATCAGGTACAGGTAAGGTCCTCATTATCAATGACTGGGACAGGGCTGGAGTGGGGGAAATCAGGAGAATCTGTATCTCTCTAAAGGAGTGGGTTTAGAGGAGATTGGGGTATCATCTATGGGGAGAGGGATTAGGGTTATATCTATTATAGGGGGATTGGGGTACCAACTGTGATAGGAGGGTTGGGGAGAGGGTTTGGGGTACTGTGTATATATAGGGAGAGGAATTGGGTTACTGTAAATATAGGGAGAGAGATTGGGGTACGTGTGTGTGTGTGTGTGTGTGTGTGTGTGTGTGTATGTATGTATATAGATAGATATAGAGATATAGAGAGAGAGAGAGAGAGAGAGATAGAGATACTCTCTATGGGGGAATGGGACTTGAGTGTTATCTATGGGGGGGAGAATTGGGTGAGAAGAAAAATCAAGGCCAAGAGGAGAATGTAGTACTATCTATGGGAGAGAGGAAGTGAGTGTTTCTACTATAGGGGGGTTTGGGTACTATCTATGGGGGAGAGGAGGAACATAGACTATTAACTAGGGGGGATGGGCAACTAACTACAGAGAGCAGAGACTGGGCTTCTACCTATGAGAAATAGGAGAGAAAAATGGACTACAAGCTATGGGGCAGTAATGGGCTACTAGCTATTGGAGATGGGAATGGACTACAGACAATGAGGGATACAAATTCACCACTTCATTCACCCAGACAGTGCAAACCATACACAAACAACCCTGCATTCACAAAAACACCTTGACCTCCTACGTACCTTTTAAGCACATCAAACATCCAGACACGTCCCTGCATTCACACACTGACTTTCCACACACATGTCCCTACATTAAAACACATTGACCTGCTCCAAATATGTGCACCTGTATCCATGGCTGGTCTGGGGATACAAAGCAGCCCTGGAAAAAAAAAAATCCATGCCAGCCCCATAAGTCATTGCGCCACGTAGTGTCACATGTAATACGTACAGCTATGTAGCTATGTCTTGCCACCCCAGATGATTGAGTCGTATATAAATACATATATTATATGTCTTGCCACCCCAGATGATTGAGTTATATATATATATATATATATAACTCAATCATCTGGGGTGGCAAGACATATAATATATGTATTACATATTATTGGTCAATATATATATATATATATTTGTTTTTTCTAATATAAAATATTCCTTTCAGAGTCAAACATTTAATTATACAGTAAGCATACAGACAATCTCACTGACATATGCAAGCTCATTGATACAGTGTCATAGACAAACAATCTCACAGATTTATTATTATTATGATATTTATAGAGCGCCGTCAAATTCCGCAACGCTTTACAATGGGTGGACGAACAGACGTGTAGTTGTAGTTGTAACCAGACAAGTTGGACACACAGGAACAGAGGGGTTGATGGCCCTGCTCAATGAGCTTACATGCTAGAGGGAGTGGGGTAAAATGACACAAAAAGGTAAGGATAGTATTAGACTAGTGACAGCTGCAGAAGAGGAATCAGTCAGGAGCTATTAACAGTTTAATTGATACGCTTTTATGAAGAAGTGGGTTTTTAACGATTTTTTTAAGGAGTGGAGTGGAGTGAGCATCTAACAGAGGAGGAAAGCGAGTTCCACAGGAATGGTGCAGCCCTCGAGAAATCTTGAAGGCGAGCATCAGAGGTGGGAGTACGGACAGAAGATAGATGTAAGTCTTCAGCAGATCGTAAGGGCCTATACGGGACATGCTTGTGTATAAGGGAGGATAGAGAGGTGGGAGCAGCATTATGTAGAGATTTGAAAGCAAGAACCAGAATTTAAAATTGAGCTCTATATTTTATAGGAAGCCAATGTAGGGACTATATATAAGCTCATTGACATAAATACACAAGTTTACAGATGCACACAAATAGGCTCACTGACATGCACAGACAAGCTTATTGGCATACACACACACAAATGTAGTACAGACAAACTCTGACATGCACAAGCTTATTACAGACAAGCTCACACACACACACAAGCTCTCTCACTAGCAGACACATACACAGAGACAAGCTCACTCACTAGCAGGCACACACACACACACACACACACACACAAACGTTCACTCACTAGCAGACTAGCAGACACACACACACACACACAGACAAGCTCACTCACTAGCCGGCACACACACACACAGAGACAGGGTTGGCGCCACCGTTAGGTGAACTAGGCATTCGCCAAGGGCACCGGCCTGCTGGGGGAATTTTCTGGTGGGCTCACCCTGTCTTGGGCCGCAGCGCTGGACGTGCGGCTCTAGAGCTGCCCCCCTTCAACACTGGGCTGCTCCTCCAGGCACCCAAAGGTGGGGGCGCCCAGAAGAGCCCTGTCACAGTATGGCAGAACAGGCACCTTCTTACCTTGATGACAGGTGCCAGCTCTGCCATCAAATCCCGGTGACCGGAGGAGGGGGGGGGGAGAAGGCGGCGAGGGAGGCTGTTCTTGCAGCCTCTCACTCCTCCCTCACGCGCCCTCTGTGATGCTGTGAGCCGGAATATGACGTCATTCCAGCCCCGGCATACTAAACGGCGGGCAGGAGGAGTGAGGAGCTGCCCCACACTGGGTCCTAGGGAGGTGAGTGTTTAAGTGTTTGTCAGTGAGTGTGTGTGTGTGTCAGTGACTGAGTGAGTGTATGTCTGTCAGTGAGTGTGTATGTCTCTCAGTGTCTTTGTGTGTGTGTGTCTGTCAGTGATTGAGTGTCTGTCGGTGAGCTTCTGTGTGCGTGTGTCAGTAAGTGAGTGTATGTGTGACAGCGTGTGTGTGTCTGTCGGTGAGTGTCAAGAAGGGGCAGAAAAATTGATCTTTACCTAGGACGGCAGAAATCCTTGCACCGGCCCTGCACACAGACAAGTTCACTCACTAGTAGGCATACACGCACACACAGACACACTAGCAGGCGTGCAGACACACAGACAAGCTCACTCGCTAGCAGGCACACACACACACAGACAAGCTCACTCGCTAGCAGGCACACACACACAGACAAGCTCATTCACTAGCAGGCACACACACACAGACAAGCTCACTCACTAGTAGGCATACACACACACACAAGCTCATTTACGTACACACACACACAGACACACTAGCAGGCGTGCAGACACACAGACAAGCTCACTCGCTAGCAGGCACACACACACAGACAAGCTCACTCACTAGCAGGCACATACACAAGCTCACTCACTAGCAGGCACACACAAACACAGGGCCGGACTGGGAATTAAAAGCAGCCCTGTTGCGTTGCGCCATTATAGTGTGCAGATACAGAGTTAGAACAGATAACTTGAAATTAAAAAGTACTCCAACATAAAAAGCGCACTCAAAGGCTTCAAAATAAACAAAAGTGCAGTTTTATTTTAAGCAGACGTGCCTTTGCATGTAATCAATGTTTCAGTCCAACTACCTTGACATATTAAGGAAAGCTTGTTAATGGGACTGAAATGGTGAATGTATGTAGGGCACAACTGTAAAAAAAATTTATTTTGAAGTCTTGTGGGTGTGCTCTTCACTTTAAATATGTTATTGTGCTGGAGTATGCACCTAGCAACAAGACTGTGCCAATATCTGCTCATTACATATGGTACATATTAATGACATTTCTCTGTGCATTATGCATATATAAATGTACATTAATATGTGTAAATATAATAGGCATAATATATATATAACTAATACACACATTAATATACATGTCATATACCAGTGGCGGATCGAGAGCCTGATCCCGGGAGCGGCACTTGTAGATTATTTAAATAAATATTCCAGGCACAATAACCACTACTCCTCTGTGTAGTGGTTATGGTGCCAGGAGTGTCGGGACTCCCTCCCAGAGTAAGTAGTCAAACCGTTTAAGAACAGTTTGACAACTTACTTGGAGTCTGCTGGGATTTGGGCTGTAGTAGGGTATAGGAGCAGTGGTGCAATGTGTGTGAAAGGTTCAGTGTGTGGGTGTGTGGGGGCAGTGTGTGAATGTGTATGGTGTGTGGGGGGGCAGTGTGTGAATGTGTATGGTGTGTGTGTATGGGGCTAGAGTTCACTCTCACTACTGCGACCACCAGGAGGTGGTGAGAGTGAACTCTAGCCCATAGCTCCAGTGCTAGAGTTCACCCTCGTGAGAGCCTGAGCATTGCCCCGGGTCCTCTCTTCCTCCCCTGCCGGCTGCCCGCACTGTGCCTGTGGAACGGGGAGGGAGATCGGCCGGCAGGGGAAAGCCTCGTGGGGGGAGGGGGGGAATTGCCCCATTGCCCCATTGCCCCCCCATCCACCAGTGATATATACCTCCCCTATGTGTGTCTCTTTATCTCCAGCCCCTCTGTGTGCCTTTTTGTCTCCCCCAGTCACTCTGTATGTTTCTTTCTCCTCTGTGTCAATGTCTCCCCTCTCCTTCCCAGTCTCTCTCTTCCCCCTCTGCCTCTTTCTCCCCCTCCCCTTGTGTGTCTCTCTTATTTCTTCCTCTTTGTCTCTCTCTTCCCCCCCTGTCTCTTTCTCCCCCCTTTCCCTGTGTCTCTCCCTCCTCCCATCTCTCTGCCTCCCTTCCTGTGTCTCTCCCCTCCAGCCCATCTCTCTTCCTCCCTTTCCCTGTGTCTCTCCCTCCTCCCCATCTCTCTTCCTCCCCCTTTCCCTGTTTCTCTCCCTCCTCCCCATCTCTCTTCCTCCCCCTTTCCTGTGTCTCTCCCTCCTCCCCATCTCTCTTCCTCCCTCTCCGTGTCTCTCCCTCCCCCTCTTCCTCCTCCTTTCCTGTGTCTCTCCCTCCTCCCCATCTCTCTTCCTCCCTTTCCCTGTGTCTCTCCTCCCCATCTCTCTTCCTCCCCTTTCCCTGTGTCTCTCCCTCCTCCCCATCTCTCTTCCTCCCCCCTTTCCCTGTGTCTCTCCCTCCTCCCCATCTTTCTTCCTCCCCCCTTTCCGTGTCTCTCCCTCCAGCCCATCTGTCTTCCTCCTCCCTTTCACTGTGTCTCTCCCTCCACCATCTCTTTATTCCCTTCTCTGTTTTATTCCCCCCCATTTGCCTAGAGGAGTCAGGGGGGCTGGCCGCGTTCCAGGCTGGAGCCGCCGGGCAGGGTGGCAGCTTCGCCGGTCCGGCGGCACTCCTGTCACTGATGATGCTGAGGGGGGAGGAGCATATCTACTATGCTCCCTCGCGGTTCCCACAATTCCCAACACAGGAACCACGAGGGAGCATGGTAGATAGACATCCAAGAACACACACACATTACATCCTCTACAGCAGGCCCTCCACCTTTGGCCCTCCAGATGTTTTGGACTACATCTCCCATAATGCTCTTACAGCCATTATGCTGGCAAAGCATCAAGGGAGATGTATTCCAAAACATCTGGAGGGTCGAAGTCTCCCCACCCCTCCTCTACAGTAACACACAACATATCCCCTACACGCATACAATCCACTCCCTGTGAGCGAACTCATGGGTGTGCCAAGTAGGTGGATTTATGGGCGGGTCTTACTCATGGCATACTCACGGACAGGCCTTCGGGGCACAGATATTGAGCTGTGTAAGGGGCCCAAAAAAATGGAGCTGCTTCCTGTGTGTTGATTTTTGTGAACACTGTTACAAACAGCCTCCAGAGAGCCTGTTCTACACAAGATCAGTGGAGCCAGACTGCAGCCTGAGCCCATCATCATCCTCTTGTCCTCATCTGGTAGTAAGTAGGCAATCCAATATATTATTAGTTGCACTAATCTCTAATTTACCTCACATTAAAGGGACACTGTAGTCACCAGAACCACTGCAGCTTAATGTAGTGGTTCTGGTGTCTATAGCCTGTCCCTGCAGGCTTTTTAATGTACATACACTGCCTTTTCAGAGAAAAGACACTGTGTGCAGCACTGGCATTGGCCCGTATGGCAGATCACATGGGGGGTGCATTGTGATGTCACATGGTGGGCAGAGCATATGGGGGGGGCATCAGATTTTTGTTTGCCTAGGGCGGCAAAAATCCTTGCACTGGCCCTGGAAGCATCTCTAATAGCTGTCAGTATGAAAGCCTTAGGGAGTGGACTAAACCCTGATTTGTAAACATTGCAGCTTCTAAAAATAAAAATACTATATTTTACTCTG